AAGAATATAAGGAAAACCTTTCCGAGAGGCTGAAGAACATCTACGCGCAAAGTTGTTGGTTCAAATACTGTAAAGGAACAAAAGCTTCGTGGTTCGCTCGCAAGTGCTCTCACACCTTAACGAGGGAACACCTGGTGAATAACAGAAACGCTTCGTGAACAAATTCAGAAAGACTTTCGGAACGTAACGGCCGTTATTACTAATGTTTAGAGACTTCGGTCGTCTATGAAGTTAAGAACTTGAACAATTTCAAATAAGTTTAGTTTCCTTGCAAAAGTGGGATTTCCTCCTGGGGGAGGTGGCGGGGACTTCTTGGTAAAGGCTTGTCCAGAGTTTCGCGAAGTGTAGGACCTAAACTGTGAAGTTAAATTCTTAACTTGGCGAGCGACCGAGCAGCGGCCTGAAGTAGAAAATAATTGCGAAATGTTGGGTATGGAACGTTCCTCTTTATTCGAATCTAATTCAAATTAATTTAGAATTAATCCAAGACGATTAATATCACCTATCACTTTGTTCGATAGCTTCTTCTATAAATATTATCCTTAAAAAAATTCTACTAACACAAACGAAACTTCATTCTCTCTACACAAAGTTTAATTAAAATTCATTTACTTCATCCACAACAAGTCCATCTTTCTCATCAGCGAGTACTTTCAAGAAAAACATAAATATTCCCCATCGAACAAAGTGATAATCTCCGTGAAATTCTCTTCCAAGCTCGTGTTATTGTTTTCCTTTGCGTCGCTCGTAGAATAATAATTTACTTCGCAGAAATAAGAGTTCGAGTGACGTAATCCATTTGTGTTTGGAATAACGCCAAGAGACGCGAAAAAAGTAGCCATGGCAACCGAACGCGCGTAATTAAATACTGTTTACCGCCTCCAATGCTCTCCGCGCACGAAATAAAAAGAATGCGAGGTAAAAAGGTGCACGAGGTCTCCTGAAATCGCCGTGAACGCGCTAAAATTAAACGCAACGGGTAAAACAAACTACCACGGGCCAAACACCTTCGATACGCGAGCGTAAACGCGAGTGTAAACGTACGTTGAACCCCGCGACAGCACTTCGGGGAAATTCTCTTATCGCCTCGTGTTTATCTACCTGTGAACTTGCTACGCCAGTTCGGACGATAAGGGAAGAGGTGAAACGTGGACAAGACGCGAAGGACACGCGTTTCTTTTCCACCCAAATCGTGTTCTTAAACAAAGGATCGCTGAATACCACTCGTAAATAATTTGTACGCATTTGTACTGTTCAACTTTTAGCAAGTGTGAAACACTGCTTAGACATTTATGGTTGGTGAACTTAGACAAGATATATTTATTTCATTTAGTGGAAAAGATTTTAAAATTTAACCGTTCAGATCGATATTATATCTTACTATTCATAAATAACCAGACTGTATATGCAATTAATTATTTTCTAAATTATGTAGCGTGTACATTATTATGGATTCTTTATATATTTTATATTTAGAACAAATAATGAACTACTTCGTATCCATCGCTCATCCAGCAACAAGTACTCTGAACAAAAACTCTCTGACAAAAATATTTCACGTTCAACGAATGAAAACTCCCAATAATTGTTCGCGGATTGTTTCTCGAACAAAATTATACCGGAACCCGCGATTCGTAGTCTTCTACGGGACTACTTGCAACCCGTTCTTCCGCGACACGGGCATCGTTGTCGCGAAAAAATCAAAATACATATTCCGCGGGGCGAATGAAAATTGTTCGTCGAAACGTTAAGCGAGCAAGATCTCATCGAAACAATGCCGTGAAAATTCTGCTAACGATCGCCGTAACGACCGAACTTTCGCGCGAAAAAATCGCGAACGAAATCGTAAAATAACGTTGGGATTGGTTTCATTCCGCGAACGATATTATAAATCGATAACTATTAATGTATTAATATTGAATGATTTAACACCCTGTACGATATATAATTTGCATAAATCATTGCTACATCGTGCATTTGCATCTATAAGCACGTATAGTGATTCATGGATACCTACAGAAAATATCAACAATGTACATTTATCGCATCGACTTGCTCCCTTTCATTATCGACGTAATTCAACCTATCAAAAGATTTCGAGCAACATTTCGACGCGACATGGCCCTTATTCCCAAGAGTATTCGGTTACTTCGTTATTGCAAATACAGAAATATTATTATCAAAGTTACACCGCGGACACGAGATAACGTAATTCCGTTTCAAAAATGAGATAACCGCGAAATTAGATACCGCGTTACTTGGAATAATATTTCAAATGTGTCCAGTGGTTCTGTTTGCGTGTTAATGTTATTGCTTGAACGTTGTTACTATTGGAACTGATCTTTCGGTTCGTTTTTCTTTCGTGTCCTTAACCGACGCGCGAATCAAAGAGCGTCCGAGGCGTACAATGGGAAAAGTTGTTTACCATCCAACGAGAACGACGCAATTATTCCAAACGGTACGCTCTTCGAAAGCGACACGGTCAAAGTACGTTTTCTCGGACCGATGGATCCGTCTAAAGGTCCGTGAACTAAGAAAATTCATGCATACAAAATTTTAAACAACTTTTTTATCAAGTTAAAGTGATTTTTTTCACCCAAAGAACTCGTTCTTTTTTTCAAACTTGCAGTAATTTCACATCTCACCATTTTTGCGGCTTTTTCTTAGCTCACATAGAAGAAAAATGTATGAAAATGAAAATTTCTTTTGGTTCTTTCGTGTCAAATCAAAATTACGACCTGCATCATTCCAGCCGACAGGAGGATTGAATTGTAAGCTGCTCTACAAATGTGCGTCACAGTCGACTCGATTTGAATATTTCTAGTTGAAAAAATTTCTACAGGCTACTCAAATACGTATAAAAATAAGATAAAAAGTTCGATACAATTAATGATTTCTTTCCATCCTAAAAAAATTCGCGAAAAACCGCTTTTTTTAAATCTCCTCATTCAGGATACCCCTTTAAGCTCTCCTCGAGTCAAAGCGATACTGCCTAAAACATTTGTTCTCTATCACTAAGGAGGATAAGACACTCGAGTGACTAGTTCTAAACGTTCCACCTAGTATATTTAAAATGTCGACGCTCCCATTGGCGACTACGAAAAGCCTGGTGGCATCGTGCACTCGAAACTTCGGTGGCCGGGTCAGGTGTCCTCGAAAACCCGAGGCAACTTTGGATGGTGCCTCGATTGTACGATAATTAACGCGATATAATTGGATCACCGGCCATCGGCAATTATTCGGGCACGCTCCAGAGAATCGTCGAAAAAAAAAAAAAAAAGAAACGTGGAAAGATAATAAATGAGAATACGCGAGAGTTAACTCTTTATTCCGATGCGAATGCTTAACCCGTGACGCTCCCATGAAAGATTCTCCGATCTCTCTTTCTCTGTTTCCCCGCGTTGTTCTATACATCTGTCCCGTTTTACTTGCTCACCGTAACCAAGCGAGTGAGGTTAGGACAAATAGATGCCACGCTCACTTTCCTTTTTCATCTTTGTACGATACATTCTGTATCGTACACGGTAACTGTAGAGCAGTTCGTTACCGTTGCCCACGGCAACGAACAATACGAGTACACTTCATTCTCTTTCTACGCGGTAAATACGTTCGAAAGGACGACCGTATAAACAAAGACAGGCTGTGGCGAAAAGTTGTTCTCGAAGTTTTCGAAACTCGCGTGGTAATGTACACCGACAATTATTTACGAAGAAAATGTTTCGATGTATACACTCGGAACTGTAAATGTACCTTCTATGTTTATCGAAGAAATTCTAAATTAAATAATACATAGGTTCGATGACTCCAAATAAATGTATCATTATATGTACATGAATAAACTTTACACATGTATACACTCATAGAGAATCATTTATTTGGAAAAATCACTCCAGTTACTTAATTTAGACAAATTTCGTCAACACGCATACACGGTGTAGTCTAAGGCATCGACTTTCGGTAGAGGTTAACCTGAATATTGCAAAATTCCTTCCCCTAAATAGTCGCGAACGTTTCAAGCTCTCGATAGTAGTAGTAAAAATTTTGACCGACGTGTAATGAACGCTTTCGTTGCAATCTATTTACGAAACCTTTTAAAAGCACAACAATTGAAACAGTTTTCTTTTTCTAGACCATGCGCAGCTCGGAATCGAGTAAAAAGAGAATGTACTGCGAGTTGGCGAACGCCAATAGTTATAATCGTTAATGGCGGTAATAACGGTACATACCACGTCACGATAATCTTTCCACGAAACGCTCAGTGGAACAACATTACGGAGAAATCGAGCAGCATCAAGGTTACGCAGCCACGCTGTAAACTTTCCGGTCTGTTGACACTTTTTCTACGTTAATCGACACTGATTACTTGTTATTGACTGAGAACGCGCAGCTTTACTTTCTTAAACGGTCATCCATCTTGAATAGTAGTCTAGTGAACTTCGCGCATAGGTACGAGAATCGAAAGCGTTCTAGGGGTGTTCGACTTCGAATCGATTTTTCAAATCGATCGTTGCATGGCGGTCAACGATTAGTCCTCCATTGTAGGTTTCTATTTTTCTTTTGTTCCTTTCGAATATCTTTTTGCAAAAAAAGCTAGTATTTCTTATGTTTGTTTCTTTCGACAAAATGAGGAGAGGCTATTTACCCCTAGTTTAAAAATAAAAGTTACCAAAAGAGTAACCACTGATCGTAGTTGAGAATCAAGTTATTTTTTTTCTTCCGAACGCTCTGAATATTTAGATATTTACGTATGACATTATCAGTGCCAATAAGAAATTAAGAAAGACAATTTTTCAAATGAATCGTTAAGAAATGTATTAATTCGGCTCTAATCGAAATCTAGTCTCTTCCACGAAAAATCGATTTCACAATCGAACAACTCCAGTACGTTCCGCGTGCCGCAACGATGTACTCCGTAATAGTAGAAACTGACTCCGAAATCGTGACATTTCGCAAGATGAAACGCACGATTGGAGTAATAGAATAAAACAATGCTCGCTTACCTTCAATATCACGAAATCCATGTCGCGTGGTCCCGGTGGTGGAGGACGAAGCGTGGTCGATGACGTCTTGCCGCGGACTCGGAGCGAGAGAATGCAGGTCTCGAAGGCGAAGAAACGAGACCAAGTTGCCTGTGTATAAACGACGGAGACGCAGCCGAGGCGAGGCAGACCGATGAAAAGGGCAAGACCGACCGAAACACGAAGAAAGCAGTTACGGGCACTCGACACTTCTTTTCCACTTGTTCGCGTCGTCGACGACTCGGAGCAACGAGCACTCACACGCGGCACGAGGCGGCTGGGTCGTTGTCACTCCGATGATCCAGCATCGCTGCGCGTTCTCGCGGATCCAACGGCCACGAGAGCGAACGCGAGAGATTTATTTCCACGAAATGTTTCTCCGTTCGCGATTAGGAAACGGTAACTGGACGCACGAGGTGAACGCGAGACGACTTAGGCGAGGCGATTCGGAGTGCAAGACGCGTCTGGAGCACGCGAGAGATACGGTTCGGCCAACACGCGTGGCGGCTCGGCGTCGACTGAATTCGACAGCGGTCGCGCGCCACGAGTGGCAGGCGTGTCTCGAGTGCGCGCTGGAAGGAGACCGAGCTATGCAGCCGCGTCGGGAGGGGATGGAGACCGGCGAGAGAGAGGGAGACACGCGACTCGACGACGCGGCAGACAGAGACGAGACGCAGGGATGAGCGACCGACCGTCGGAGACCACAGTTGCACTGCTTGCAACTATAGAAAGGCGAGAGGAGAGGAGTGCAGAGAAATGGATTCAGGAGGAACAGACGCGACAGGATTGAACAGAACGGAATGGAATGGAAGGAACGAGATACATACACCTCGAACGACTCGTAGAGACGAGCGAATGACACAAAGAGCGAAAGAGATTTACAACAAATGTAGATTATCCGAAAGAATCGTTTGCAACGCTACCGTCGCGATAGCACAGGTATGCAAGAGCAGCAGATAAGTTCTCCGTTGTACCCCGATACCCATCGTGTTTCGTCCTTCTCGCTCAATTTTGTTCTTTACAGTCGCGTGACTGCTTTTAAAACAATAGATCAGTTTCTTAAATTAATATGAGTGATAGAACTGTGATAAGAAAAATAGGTATGGAAGTATGAGAGCAGAACGTATAAATATCAGGCATGGAAGTTTGAACGAAGAGGAACGAATGGAAAAACTGTGATAAATGTACGTCGACAAAAACAGGCATGGAAGTATGAAAGTAAAACATGTAATATAAGGTATGGAAGTATGAGAGTAAAACATGTAAATATTAGGTATGGAATGATAGGCAGAAGCGAGAGAGAGAGAGAGAGAGAGAGAGAGAGGTATGGAAGTATGCAAGTATAAAATAATGTGAGGCGACAAAGACAACGAATCACTCAGTAGTGTAACAAGGGCTGTAAACTACCCTATCACTTAAATAAAGACGCAAATACGCAAATAAGCGTGACTGCTCTACCTAGCGAATGTCAATTTAAGTAATTACAAGACAAGACGATTGTATACGTTCTTAAACCAATACAGTTTTATTTTACCCGGTTCAAAAAATCGAGACGTCAAGGTGAATTCAACGGGATGGAATCGGATATTCCGCTCCATCGGCGCAACAGGATGACAAGCACGGCTAGAAACCTAGAAGCTAGTAATTTGGAAAATCGACCAGAGCTGTGTGATTAAAACGACGGTTAAGCGACTGAATGGGTCCGATCGGTCGATAAGATTGAATGGATTTTCATTAATTCCGTTTCACTGCCGTGGACGATTTTATTTTTATCAATTCCGGTATGATTACATCCGCCAGATCGTAGCCATTTGGTTATAGAGAACAAGATAGTCGAGCGAAATTAATGTTCATTTACGTTCTGGGCGTTTCTCCCATTGTTTCCCCTGAAAATAAATGTGCGCGCACAGAAGGTACTAATAGCCATTAATCTCGCCGTTTTACTCTCTATGACAAAGAACCTACGGATCTACGCGATAAACAAAGCAACCTAACTTCATTCTTGCTAAGTGTATCCTAAAACTATCCTTTCTTGCACAGGGCGAAATGGTGGACAGTCGAACTAATGAAACAAAGAGAAAAAGGTTTGAAATCGGAAATATGGGATGTTCGAGGTGGCGAATCGCAGTCGCGAAAGGAAAAGCAAAGTCGGCTGTTGCATAGCCGCGAGAGAAATGAAGAACAAGGACGCGAAGGCCGAGAAACGCTTAACGGAATAGGAGGGAAAGGGAGAGAGAAAGGGGATCCGCTATTCTTTTATTTACCTGGCCGCCAACCACTCCTACTCCACCCACACGTACACACAGACTCTTTAACTCGCCTGTTATCTCTCTCGCTCTAGATGCAGATGCACGCGTGTCTTTTACCTTTGTTTCCATTCCGACACCGCAGACAGTCGTCAATTACCGTTGCGTTTTGGTCAGCCGCGATGTCGCATCGCGTTACCGGATGTTGGCGTCAAGGTTGTTTCTGCGTCGGATGGGCGCGACGTTCCTACGTCCAGTACACCGCGAACGACAAACACACACACACGCGGAAATAAATTCCGTCGCAAAATTTCTTCTCTTCCGTTTGCAACGGTACCGCAGAATTAGAGGGTAGTTTCGGGTAAACCCGAGAGTGTGATTCTGTGGACGAATTATTATTTAAATACGTGACTATTATTCAGAGATGGGCAAAACCCTAGGCTTCGAAAAAATGTTTGTCTCGTTTCCTCTTTTGAACATTTTCCAAAGAAGGAAACGAGACAAACACATCGACAAACTTCAAATTTATTCGAAGCCTAGGGTTTTGCCCATCTCTGCTATTATTCAAATTTCATTGAAATTTTCCATCTTAATTACGTCCACTTTAAATCCTTGAATTTCATTCATCGAATATCTGCATGATACATAGAGAGTTCGGTAACTGAAATTTATATAAAAATTTGGTTGAATACACATAAAATGTTATAGATTTGGAATTTTATCCGTTGATAATATAGTTGAAAATGAAAGTCGCTCTCAGTGGCTGGATAACCAGGGATAAGTTTTAATTATTTAATCGGCCCAAATAGTATCATATACTTTTTCATAAACGACTACTGTAACTGGTGTAATTACAAATATTTTATATGCTGTTTTAATACTTGGATGCGACGAACCCATATTCCGTTTTAAAATGGTATGTACATCAATTTTGCAAGAGACATTTGAAACTTTCTATTTCGTTCGCAAGCTCGTGTTATTATGTTTTGTTTCAAACTATGATGCCAATTTATTTCATTTTTAACGAGTTACAGTACTTACTGGTAGAAAAATAACATTCGTTCTCTTAATTTGTACAGTTTTTTATATAAATAATGAAGAAAATGAAGAACATTATTCAGTGCGTTCGTCCTAGTTCAATGCCATTATTTTTATACCATAAAACGTTTATATACGATATTATATGTTGTAGCTGTGACTCGAATTTGTTCTTTCGCATTGTCCCAGGCAGGTGCACGACCATCGTCCTACCTGGCGCGGTTACAGGAGTAAACGCACCCTCGCGGCAGGGGCAATCAAACAGAAAATTCATAATCACGATCTTAACAAGGAAAGTTGCATAAAAAGCGACTGAAAAGTTGCCAAGTTCCCGCCGTCTCGTTTGTAATCCCAACTCTCCTCAACCCTTCCTCAACGCGGCGCTCTCGAAGCCCACTCATAATTACCAAAGTTAATTTGCGAATCGCAATTTAATTGGCCGGTTCTTGAAGGTTCCTTAAACTTCGTCTTTCGCGTAGCCGCGATTCCCCTTCCGCGATGCGGAGGCACGGCCCTCTACGCAGAAAAGAAAGGGGCTCGGCGTAGAATCGAAAAAAAAAAAGAAAAAATTTCGCATCGACAGGGAACGAGCGTTCGAGGAGCTTCGATACGGAAGGTGGAGGGTTGGTTCCGTGAAAATCATCGAAAGCGAATTCGCCCCCCTCTCCTTGGTGGGAAAGCCCGGGGTCGTTGTACAAAGAATTCGTCCCGCGCGACGTCGAGTATATAGATGCCTCTTTCAAGGAGAACGCTGATATAACGAGACCCATGGATTACTTTTCTCTTTGAAGGAACGAAACGCGTTACTTGGTATGTATATACGTAATGCGGTGCTTACGCAAATATCGATGTCTCCGCGCCCCCGCGGTTTCTTTTATCTCCGTTACACGACGAAGGGCCAACAACGTTTGAAAGACGACACCTCCGACTCATTACCAAAGAAGCACGAACGGATGCTCATAGATACGTACGCGAGGCAGGGTTAAAGGCAGGACAAAAGGAGAGAGGGACACGTTTCCTGAGATTTTCACCGCAAGCAGCTCATGGTGAAACGAAAGAAAGAACATTCTCCGTGTGACGGTGACTCCTTTAATTAGGCGGTCTGTGATCAGCCGAGGATTTTCTTTTTTTACCCCTCGTCCATTTTTTTTCCGTTCTTTCTCGTTTCTCCAACCCTCTCACGCACGAATACACGTAGCGACTCGGGTCACGGCGTCGCCTGGTCAACACCGTAAAAGATTCGGTTTTCCGTCTGCGTTTCATTTCACTTTCCGTCATTTTGCGCGGCTCGGTAACTTCTCGGTTCCGGGCGCCCAGGATCGATCCTACGTCGCATTCTTCTTCGCGGTGAAGAGTCGCAACGTCTGCACTCCCGCGGGATCGCTCGTGTTACACGAGAAAATACAGGGTGTTTCCTTTAAATCGTAGCTCTAACACAGTGCACTCAGAAATTTAGTAATGAAGGTACTGGAGGTCAAAATTAACAGAGGATTCTTAGAGTAAAAGTATCAATGCATGTATATCCTAAACATTAGAAATGTTAAGCCTAGAACTAATATCCTGTCTAAGAATATCCTGTCTAAGATGTCTACATGTAAACTAGTACGAAGTGTAATAGAATCACTCTTATCTTCCCTGTCAAACATTTCAGGAAGACTCTTGTATAAAGTCTTAGACAGTAAAACTCTTAGACAGTAAACAGCGTCTCCTTTACACCCCTATCCCAAAACAAACTACTTAAATCTAATTACACCTGATTATACTACTGATGTAATTTTTAATTTCCAAAAGATTGAAACACGACACTCTGTAGGTTCGTCGAAGTCTTTCAAACGAACGTCGTTGCTCATCGTCGGAATATCCTTAAGGTTTGGTTTAAAAGCAGCCTTTGGTCGCACCTCCCCTAAGGGGTTACCAACCGCGCTCTTTTAACCCCTTGACGCATGGAAAAATTTGTAATGAATACAAATTGTTAAACATGGGGTAGCTGTCCGTGTAATCAGACCTGCCCCGGAGATTTGACAAAGTTTTTCCTTAATATTAACGTTTAAACGACCGGGCGATTTTTTTCTATACAAAGTACGCGACGAGGTCTCATAATGGATCGCGGCGAAAAAAGGGAGTAGACCGTAAGTGAAAAGTGATTACTAAGCTTAGCGGCGAAGTTGGCAACAACTCGTACAGTTTCTTAGCTTTAATCCCATTCTCGCCTAAGTGAGTTACAAAAACCATGTTAACAAAGTTCTTCCTGATATCCAGGAAAAAAAAAGCGCATCGCACGATATCCGTGAACTTCGTGGGATAATATAATATCGTTAATTTTACGTGTCACCAATGTTTCTAGGCATTTGTTGAGCAAACGGCAGTAGTCCCGCAGTTTAAAACGCGTTATCATAAGAGATTTGAGTTACTTCTATAATTTCTTAGCTTTAATTTCATTTTCATTTAAGCGAGTTAGAAGAAAAACCACACGGTCTACTTGATGTTTTTAAAAGTACTTGCAATGACAGTAATTAAAATAATTGTATCGATACTAATAGGAGAAGGTTTTTAACAAGGCAGAGAGGTACGAAGAGCCATCCAAAGGCGGGAAAACAGCTTGATCCACGATACGACTCGTCCAATTACATTTCAACTCGAAAGGAGAAAGAAAACCAGATGGTTAAATAGGCATTTGCATGCGACGCGAACGGCCGGACAAACGGGTCGACTACCTTTCGGTTCCATCTTTTATTTTGTCATCGTGTTTTGGTACTTGACCCAGTCGCTCTCATAAACGTTTCCGGAGCTCCTTTCCTCCGAGTTATCGAACCTGACTAGAGCTTTAAATTTAAATCGCTAGGCAAAAAAATGAGGAAAATTATGTCCTTTCTAACTCTCCCAACGTCATCATATACAGATTGTAATTTTTTCCTTATTAATTCTACTGAACATATTAATAGCACGAGATGTTTAATTTATCTATATTTTGTTTACAATAATCTCTTCTCTTTCGCGCCTTCCGTAGATCCCATAATAAGCAGCCCCCTAACGTCCTCTACAATGGATAACACTGCTGCAACGTTTGTTTATCGCTGGATGCTACAAAATGAACACCTACTATCGCTTCGAGTAGTTTGTCTGTTATCTCTCACTTGTATTTACGAGAAAGACCAAGGGAGATAGCAGCTAGGTAAGTACGTATCCATACAGTAGTTATCACGACGCAAAACGTGTCCTACGAGCATTCCCGAAACTTTTTATCAAGGCGTCCCACCGGCAATGCTGTTTTCATATTTATCTGTAAACCATTGGGAACCGTAGAATTCGTCGATTTCTAGTTAATATTTTTGTAGTCAAGAAGTCTCCGTATTAAAGATCTAAAAAAATTCGAAGTTTCGAATAAAATTAACAAAATTCTTATACTTTCGTTCATTCATTACTCATCCCGATATATTAAACTCGTAGGTACCCAAATTAACTCTCGTCGCGCGCCCTTATACGGCGAGAATTAATTACGTCTATCGCGTCGGGGAAATTAACGAAGAAAAGAGTGATTTAAGGGTAGGTAGCAAAACAGCAATGAACCCCGTCCTTTCACCCTCGCCTTCTCTGCCTCGTGCAATTGAATTTGTGTTTCTCCTCTCTCCCTCGTTACGGTGAATAAAGTCGTTAGATATAAATAAATAAGCGAAATAAATAAAGGAAGGGAAAGGAGAAAGGTGGAAAGGGGGACGGTCCGATAGGTACGTATAGGCTAACCGCGACGATTCAGTGGACAACGCAGTGTCTCTGCGACTGCATCGTATTCGTAATTCAAACGTGTCCTGTTTCGATGGAGGTGGAGGTTGGGGGCTGCGCGAACGGGTGTCCCGAGGTAGAAGCGAATCGGTCTCCATCGACGGGAATTCAAAACGTGCAAAAGGGCGAACGCGCTGGCACCAAGGGTATAACGACTGGCACGTTTGCAACGCGCGCCACCCAGGGGCGGATCTACCGTGAATGAAGCTTCACCTTCCTCCACCTGCCAAAAAACAGCCACCGAAACCTCTTCGTTTATTAATTTTTTTCATTTAACCATGCAAATATGGAATTATATGTCATAATCTTTGAACGTGACTAACTGGAATCGAATCAAGACATTTGCCAATTCAAGAACACCCGAAAAACGCACACACATTATACATCGTACACACTTTATGTACGCACAATACGAATGCGCGCACATTAAGGCGTCTGGCCACCGTGAGCGCTCGCCAGATGGGTACTATTCTTAAAGAAAAATTAATTAAAAAATGAATCAAGCAATCGCAAAAATCCATTGGTATGCTTCAGATAATGTATCTAAAAGTGATGTGTATAAATTTCAGAGCAATCGGACCGCACGTTTACTTTCTTTTGGGATTATCTCGAAACTACATTTTTCGAAATGGTACAACGGTAAATCTCGTAAACTATCTCTCTGAAATTTGTACACACTACTTGTAGATACATTATCTGAAGAGATGAGAATCTGACGATTTTTCTCGTGAAATTTCGGTGAAAAATAAAAAAAAAAATTTCTTCAGCTCACCATAATTTTCTTAATGATAAAAAAAAAAAATCCAATTGCTACTCTCTTGCGACAAACTCCAGAAACAATGTAATATTTTTTATTTTTATTTTTCACATGCAACCTAAAGAATATAATGATGGGACAGCCCACGCGCGTTTCGTGCCGAAGGCCTTCGCCAAAATTTTCGAACCGCCGAAAATTTTTTTTTTCTGTTATCTCAAAAAATGTTTCACGTGTGAGTTAAACCGTTCTTTAGTATGTGTCAAAACATGAAAATATTTTTTTTTATACTTTCGCATTTATGAATTTTTTAAGAATAGTACCCATCCGGCGAGCGCTCACGGTGACCAGACCCCTTAAGCATGCCTTAAAATACATGTTAATTATAATAATTAGACTGCGGATCTTTATGCATTTATAGGAAATTTGAATGTGCAATAACCTACAAAATGCACACAATATGTAAGAATATAAAAAAGATTGAAAGTAAAGTTCATGTTATAATATTTGCAGAATAAAATAAATTCTTATATAGGTTCAATTTTTATAGGCACGTTTGCGAAGATTTTATTTTGTATAAAGATCCGCAGTCTAATAATAATATTTACACTTCTGAAAAGGAAAGGGGGGACTCTTGAAAGTAATTAGCTTGAGGCCCCGACAGGTCCAGGTCCGCTCCTGTCACCACCCACCTTCCGTGTCCTCAATGGGCGTCGGGGACAGGAAAATAAATTAACGAGGTGTTTGTTCGCTATCGCCACCCCTTTTTCCCCGGTGCCAGGATTAAAATCATCCTGTCTTTAATAATTACGCCGACCGAATGCGCTAAATGAGGCGCGCGTCGCGACGCCTGTCGCTTTTTGATAACGTTATTTACAGCTCTGGTTTACAATGGGCCACCGAACCGCGCAAATACGCGCAAATTACTCCCTGACATTGTGCGCCCGTTTCAGTACGGATGAAAACATAATGCGCGTGTTTTCCACGCGAACTTTGTGTTCGCGGTGAAAGCGAAGAGCCGCTCATTGTGGCTACGGGCTTATGAAAGATGCGTATAGGCGTCTACGCATACAAATAAAAGAGAGCAGAATGAAGCGACTCTCTGGACTTTGGTTCCTCGTGTCTGGCTCGACTTATTTGTTCAAGCACTGCCGGAAACGTATTAACGCGAAATCTTGTTTTCAACCGCGTTACGAGTTTGTCCGGTCGCTTTGTTCCCGCCTTTCCCTCGGGGCGATCAAATTTTCTTTTAAATTTCTGCTTGCACGGTCCCCCCATGCAACCTATACAACCGAAACGGTTCTATGTATCCAGGCTTGCATAAACCGATTTTAAATACGTTAACTAAGAGGATGAAGTGGGTTTGAATAAAATCACGTGATCTGTTACTGGGCCTTTTAAGTGGGAGAGATTAAATAAAATCATTTTTTTTTTATATATTACTCACTTTTAATTGCTCCAAGTTACATTCCTAAGACAATCACAACTCTGTAACAATCGTTTGTACATTAAATATGTGATCGTAAACATTCTTCGTAAACAATAAAAAAAAATATATATTAATTATACGAATGTGCAATAGTGAAAAGTTTCAGCTTCTCTAAATACAATTCACAGATTCATGGCGCTCTCGAACAAGTCTAGCATCCTCTTCATTTCCTTACTGAAAAGAGAGATGGCAACTATTATAAATGATCAAAGAATGACAGTTTATTTTATGCTCACATTTGTTCAGCCAACTTATAAATAGGTCCCATAGATTTGGATAGCTCCTCGCATTTTGCCATCAATTGATACATTGATTTAATATTATGGTCTACTGCATCACATGTTTTACAAACTGCATCTCTGTATGTCTCCAAACAGCCAACAGTCAGTGCAGATGCCTAAACATGCATTAGTATACATTCTTTCATATACAAATGATTTTATTAAGCACGTAAATTAAAACAGCAAGTACAAAGGGAATTACACTATGTAAAATAGCAGCCAAATTTTCTGTCAAAGCGTCTACAGAGGTGGCCACCTTCCTAGCTTCCATTTCCAATTCGTTCAATACATTATGATCGAGTAGAGGTAACTGAGGGGTTAGAGCTTGTCTGTACAAGCAAGGAGTAGAACTTCGAGAGCCTGGAAAAGACGGAGTCTCTCCTTTCTTGGTCACAGGACTGGAGAGTTTGATCTTATTTTCCAAATCTTCTGCCACAAACAGAACCATATCTCCATCTTGCATCACTGTTCCCTCGAGCTGCAAGTATCCCATGGCTTTGTGATAACTCGGAGGATCTAAATCTTCATCCTCGACTAGACTATCTCTCCTGTTCTTCAAATTCAATTGATCAGGTCTGCCACCGACCGTACTCATCTTTTCTAGGCTATCTTCCAAAAACTTTGTCCCGTCGAGATCTGGAGACTCTATAAGCGATCTCAATTCCGAAATAGGCGGCGACGATTGCGAATCGAACGATATTTCGGAATAAGACGCTGTCATCTCATGCAGCTAAAATCAAAGACATAGTTAATGTTCGCAGCACGACTGTCAGCGATCCATACAAAACAAACTTTTCAAAATATAAACAAAGCTGTCTAAAAACAACCTATTAACTCTAACCTTACTCTATCTTCGTCGTAGTCGATGGCAGCATTCTTCTCGCTACGTGTCGTTCCAGGCTTCGAATATGTTTCGCACTCTTCAGGTTCCATATTTTATTTTTAATGCCTTTTTGTTTTCTGAAGATTTAATTACAAGAAGCCCTTTTCGGCTTACAAATTAATTCCCGAGTTGAAGTCTACTTGACGCATACCAAGTTGGTATTACCAACCTGACGAACAACTATCGATCTTTTGAAGGCTATGTTATCAAGTGTTATCCATTGATAAACAAATAAATACTTTGATATGCCATGTAAATTTCGTCCAACTGTCAATAATATACGAATAGCTATCTATTATTGCTCAGAAGCATTAGATTTGCAACAGAATACGATAAAATTGAGTGCATCTAGAAAGGCCATCTTTGAGTAAGCCGCTCTGTGAATGAGTGAGCTTAAAAATTGTTCTATGTTATGTTATTTTATTAGAGTGTTTAGTTGATATCTCAACTATATCACTGTAAAAATTGTTCTGAAATACATACGTGGATAATAGTTTAATTATGAAGACTGTATAAGGAGATCCAACTCCAGACGAAAGTTACTAGAAAACTGTGATCAAAATCCCGAGCTTTCGTTCACAGTATGGACTCCACATGCTCCACACGCGGCGCCAAGTTGGATCTCCTTATACAGTCTTCATGATTACCATCTAACGAAAAATCTTCTGTAAAATCTCTAGATTCCGTTTCCATTTTTTTATCCTACTGTGTGTTTACATTCCTCTAGTCGATGTTTGCCGATATCAGCAATGAATTAGAAATAATTAAAGAATGTAACATAACATGGATACAAATGTCTGATTGTTTCTAATTCTTCAGTTTAATTGCTGAAGTTCTTTCCCATGTAAAACATAAAATGGTAAACATTGATTTGACGGATAAAACGGTATTGATAACATACCACATTGGTTAAAGGTACTCGTGCTCCGTTTAAAATATGTATTCGTACGCTTTAGTATTATTTTTAATACTTGTCGGTATTATAAGACCCATATATTCGCACAATGATTATTTCGATGAGGAGTTGATGTTGAAACCACTGCCAAGTAGTCATGTTTATGCGTATTTTCAATTTACCACGGTATGGGAGACGTCGAAGGAAGCTAAAACGTGTAAGTTACAAGACGTAAATTCACATATTCATCATAAGACATATTTTTTGTTGATTATGATGTAGCCTTTCATGCGAATATATATCGATATTTTAGTACAACATTCCCATTTATTTCCAAGAGGACTTGGTGAAATTATAAGTCGTCATGGTGTAGACGAATTACATCTCACTTTAACCAAAGGATTGTGGAGCTATGAAAAATGGGGATATCCTTATCATGATGCTGGTCCTGGTGCAGAGATAACTACATGGTTTCACAAAGATGTCACTGAGTGAGATATTTTGTTTTTCATATTTTTTAAATAAACCTAACAGATCCACCAATAATTATCTTTACTACTAAATAATATTACATTTTTATAGTGTTGACGATGAATGGAAAAGTCTAACAAATGCTCTAGCTGGACTATTTTGTGCCTCCTTGAATTTTGTTAATCCTTCCAATAGTATGTCTCCAGAATTTACATTCCGCCCCACAGGTGCTGTAGAGCATAGCATGAATTCTAGTCATTTACGGTATTCATCATTACCAAGAGAAATAGTTTGCACAGAAAATCTAACACCATTCAAAAAATTACTACCATGTAACTCAAAGGTACATATGTTAATTGCATCTGCATTTCTATTTTGACTATAATATATTAATGTTATAATATTCCTAATAGAAAGGTTTGGCAACATTGTTGAATTCCGCATATATTCATAACACAAATTATCATTCCATCGGTATACATTTCCGAGTGATATGTTCAAACGCGATGTGTACGAAGACATCGTTGGAATTGAAACAGACTGTCTCATTGATATATGATACTATGGTTGACGTGTCACAGGTAAATTTTTTATAATTTTATGTTTGAAAAATCCTTATAATAAATCTATTTTTTTTATAGGATTGGTCGATTCGGAAATTCTTCGGAATGGGAATTAAGGGAGCATGTCCTCTCGCTACGCTAAGCAATGTATATATCGATGTATCTAATAACAATACAAATCAAATTTATCGATTATTGCCGCCTCCGAGTGCCAAAATAACTAGTTTTCGCGGAGGGCAACAAAATGAAATTGCAGTTTACGATATCAGGTCGCATTCTACGAAGGGAATGTTCAATATCGGGGTTGCGCATAATACTGGCTTTAAGGCCAGCTTGAATTATCCTTCGGTTTTGTTTGCCAATAGATACATTATAGGTGTGTATTCAATTGTAAATTGTAAAAAACGTATGGAAATACTAAGCAAATTTTATTATGCAGGATATGGTCAAGAGAGGGGTAGTTTAGTAACGAAACTTTATAATAATTACTGGCAACCGCTCGACATTGTTTTATTAGAAAATATTCCATGGTATTTACCAGTATATCTACATTCTGTCACAATAACCTGTGGAGACAAGCAGATCGTTCCATGTAAGTGAGTTTGTTTTCAAATATAAAGATTATCTTGGATAATCTGTTGTTTCCTTTGCTTTGGCAATTAATGTTTACGTGTTGATATCGCGTGTTATAGTGGCGCAGCGTTATCTACCTGGCAAAGAAAGAAAAAGTCCATACTATCTAGAAATGGTTTTGCGTTTACCACCGCAATCGGTTACCAAATTTTCTATAGAAATGGACTACTCGTTTCTCAAGTGGCAGGAATATCCACCGGATGCTAATCATGGATTTTACATGGGCTCAGCCATAATTACCGCGTTACTCCCCATCGCGAGAAACTATACCTCGCTACCACTCGATGGAAGTACTGTAACTTCAAGGTAAAAGTTGGATAATCAACGATGGTACGCATGTAACTTCATTGTATTTTGTTATTAACAATGTAATTAAATTTTCAGTTTTAACGCTTCAAGAGATGGATATTTGGTACAGCTAAGAACAGAATCATTACTAATCAGCCTTCCTACGCCTGATTTCAGTATGCCATACAACGTAATTTGTTTAGCGTGTACAGCAGTCGCTCTAGCATTTGGCCCGCTTCATAATATTTCAACGAAACGATTGGTATTAAAACGAATCGAGATGGATTGGAAAGAGAAATTGTTTTCTTTTTTAATGGAAAAGATTGTTAAACCAAAGAAGAAAAAGCAAGAATAAAAATATGTGATTTATTAACGTGTTCTTAAATTAAATGGAATATTTGAAACTGTTATAGCGAAATGAAAACTAGCAGTTAAGGTTATAAAGTCTGTGTATCACGCAACGCCGAACAAAATTTGATCAAAGTAACAATTACAATGAAAATGAATACTCATTAATCGCTCGCAACGACTGACAATTGACAATTAATATCATCATTTGTTTTTCTTGCGACTATTGTTAATTAAATTAATGGTTAAACAATCGTCGCAAACGATTCATTTGAATACTTAATAATAATAATCACAATTAAAATTTTTAATCGCATGCCATAACAGAATAATGCCCAACTGTGATATGATGTTAGTGTAACGAGATGCGGGATGAGATCAAACTTCTTTCGATTGTATAAAAATGAACGATTCTCAATTTGATTTTATTATTCTCTACTATTCTGTCTATTTTGTTTGTTTGTAATATGTTACATAAAGTATAAAAAATGCTCGCAATTCTTTATTTGATGGCATTAGATCTATAACTTGATAATACCGGGATTAAGTTGATCCGTTATTTTATAAATGTTAGTCAGGAAATTTTTCGTGAAAAACTTTACAATGCACCGCAAATTATAGAATCATGTATATTTATAATCTTTTTAATGTTTAATAATCGTGTAAAATAGAAACAATAAATATTGTAACAAATGTAACGCGTGTCACGATGAATATTACGCACAAAATCATCAAGATTTTATGGTGCTGGTCTAATTATCGGGGACAGACTCGTATTCAACATTGTACTACGGTACTTGCTTGTACAATTTTCACTACCGTTGTTCAAAATCTTATCCGCTAGCCATTCAGTAGTTTCATTCGTTGGACAAATGTGAGGTTGTAGATGAAACGTCGTCGTAGAAAACTTCTGTAACAAAGACTTCGTCACGTCGCCGGGGATGTAATTCATCGGATCCCTATTTTCGTCCGAAGGTGCAGGAATCGCTGGACTCTCGTCTTCATCCGAGGAGCAGAGGTCGATCACTGTAACCCTATTTGACGGGTTAGGGTACAAAGTTGTTTCCTTTATAGGTTGTGCAACAGCTGTATTGTTTTCGTCGCACGATTTTGTAACTCCGAAAACAGTTAAATGTCCAACACTTGCCTCGTTGCTAACAATCCTTTCATCTTTCTCCATCGCGTTCGAATCACTTTCGTCACTCGGTGCTTTACGTTTAGAGGAACCGTTTCGTCTCACTTTCTCTTTGTCTTCCGTCATCGATTCCTTATCGTCGACTGAAACTTTTCGTACGAGACATTGACATTTCGGTGGATCTCGCTTGAGATCTTTTATCTGTTCTTCAGTCAGGTTCGTCAAAAGAACGTAAACAGGACGACACGCAACATATAACAATTGCGAATGTATGCTTAACACTAAAAGAAAGAAACAACTTTTGTAAGGGTGCTACCAATTTACAAGTTTCTGTCTCATCATGTGTCTTGGAAACGTTACCACAGAAGCAAAACGTTTAAGAATTGAGTACTCACTCGGTTTTCTCTTAACAGAGTTGACAAATTTGTATTGGTGCACATAATCATCTACGAGTTTTTCTCGATTCGGTTTGTATGTAACGATCCATCTATCGTGACCAAATTCTGACCCCAACCATTTGGGTTTACATGAATTGTTCAAAACGGGAGCGATAAGATGTCTCTCTATCCTCTCTAGCCTTTCTAACTGAGTTTCTTCGGTCATCGCTTTTGACTTCTTAGCTAACAACACGCCGGCAGGAGACGAGAAAGGAATAGTTGAGCATCTTGTAAAATTAATAGAACCTCGAACACGGCGAGAGGCACGTCCCTCGCCGAAGTTGTTGTTAGTTGTAACGCTTTTATTAGTCACGATTGATTTCGGTTCAGTGTTCATGGAACACAATCGAAAGTAATCCAAGAATTGGTTTTGACTTAATTCAGGCTCTGGAATTGATACGTCTGGCGTTGTGGACCGTGAATTGCCTCCGCTGTGTTCCCGTTCGCGGCACGTGCGTTCATGCTCCTATATAATTACATAATGTTATCATTACCTTCATTTAATATAGTATTTTCCAAAGGGCGGGAGACGTCTTACAGTCCAAAAGTGGTTTCGTTAAGCAATCAAATTAATAAAAACTTTATATTGAATTAACTAAATCGAACATAACAACAATTCTTTGCCTATGAAGTTGAAGTGTAGAAATTCTTTTTCTAAGGGAACATCCTTGAAAAAAATTTTATAATCACTGCTGTACCTTCATCTTTTGTAGGCCTACAAATTCAGCATCACAATTGTCGCACAAGTATATGTCTTCCATTGGTGGTTCAACCATAGCAATGGGATGCTGTTTCAATTTAGTTGAGAAACAAGAAGAAACTCCACTGCATGAAAGCAACTTTTTTCGTGGACTTTCATATCGTTTGTCATAATTCTATGGATACAAAAAGAATTGTTTCAAATTTATAGTGCGATTGTATAGAACAAAATACGATTTGAGTATAACAGCTGACCATATTTTCGTTACGAAACGTTACTAATAGTTTTCCAGTAGTTTTGTGATACAAACTCGTGGTCGAGTCCCAATTATTAACATAGTCTAAGTCTTCTTGCGAATATCGCGCAAGGTAAGAGCAAAAACGCAATAGATATTCGCTTCTGTGGTATGTGTAACATCTAAATACCAATTTCTTTAAATTAGACATCCAGCTCTAAAATACACAAGATATTTCATATGTAAATGTGTTATTATTGGTCTTTTGTACAGCTATATTATGACACTGTCTACCAACTTACTTCATTGATTTTTTTAGGTCTTATGAGGGGATTTGAAAACTTCACTTCTTTTGGCCACCACCGTGGTTCAGTGATGGCATCACTAGTGTCATGACCTAGTGAACACTGAACCATGAATGTTATAAAGCGTTCCAATTGTACCTGAAGTTAAACAATATTATGGTATGTATGCTACTATAATTCCAACATTATCCAATATACATATACAATAAGTTCATGTATTTACATATTAATTTACATGCATTAGTATATGCAAAATATTAATATATAAAATACTATAAAAAATGTTGCCCATACTAATGTGATTTTTTCCAATGATGTTGGGTGTCCATTGGCAAATAAAAGGGGAAGATTGGATACCACAGAACCTTCTTCTAAAGGATTATCATTTTTCAATTCTATAGTATCCCCAGTAGCCATCACAGTTTGACTTGTGTCGCTGAGCATCTGCCCCTGAGGTAAATCTACCCCGTATACTTGATCTTGCAACGTTGAGAATCTCATATTTTTAAGTTTGCCCACATTATTCGTATGCAATATCAGGTTAGGGATACACGGTTCCTTGCAGTACTATCTGTTGGTTCTGTGCTTATTCTATGTGAAAAAATCTCATGTAAATAATACAGATTATATTTATAGCATAACATTAAACATTAATAAAAGACAAGATAAGAAACTCGAGAATGAAATAGATGGTGTTCTGAATTATACTTCTATTTATTTGGCAAGCAAAATGTTACAAATTAATAGTAATAAATTTTTACTTGAGAACGCCGAATGTACAATGGACAGAACTGTCATTATTCTTATATTGTATAATCTTAAATGTGTACTATGTTATATTTAACATAATCAATGAAAACAAATATAAATATTGAGGATAAAAAAGCCATCACCAATTTGATCCATAAGTTTATATTTTATTAAATGAATATATAGATATTTGTGTGTGAACGAAAAAAGGGCTGATTTTACGAAAATGCGTGCACGCAGTTTAATATACCTGTTAAGTAGTTTTCGAGACAATCGAACGACCTTCCCTGCTTTCTATTTTCAGATTGACGCAGCAGTCGTTCAAAGACTTTCTTTTTCATTAATGTAAATAAAACGTACACCATAACTTCTATGACTGCCAATTTACCAGGGTATTTCAGAATGAAAGAATTATTACAAAAGAGAGAATGCTCGTAGTATTCGCGATGCTTGTTAACAGAAAACGATTTAAATGTATAAAGACGTACGTATGTGCAACTTACAAACATGTATATTATAAGTTAATTCACTGTGCGATAGGATAGATACGATGAAAATGTCAAAACGTGAGAATCTCGATTCAAAATCTAGCTCTTGTTACGTTGGGTTGAAGTTCAAAAGCGGAAAGATACGCGTAATACGAATCGAACGTATGTATGTGTACATGTACTGACAGTTCCTTCCTTGAACAGAATGTCTAGCAACGATCAAGCACGGTTATATTTCAAGATGGCGGGACGAATCGGTTCAACTCCCGCTAGCTTGCGACCGTTTGCAAACTATTGAGTACCTGCGATGCAGCAACATCCTCCATTATAATTTGTAGCCGCCGTCTCGTCGGTTCACGTCGGTTTGCGTCGATCTCAGCGCTTTGGCGCGCAACATTTTTCTTAAATTACACAACAAAAAAAACCACTCTTGGAACAACTACTGAGTTCGAAGGGTTTCAAAGCAATAGAAATTCCCCGTTCTTTGACCACACTTCTTTACCAGTTCCGGCCAATTCCAAGTACTTACTCGCTGTTACGCATGCGTATTCTTCGCGCCAAATATTTTTCTTCTATCTTTACCTCAAACTTTCTTCTTTATCGAAGAAGATAAAAGAAAGCAAAATAAGTAACCAATAAACATGCATGATTACACTGTTTGTCGAGTAAATATATTAATCTACAATGGTCGTTCGAAAGCTCATTTTGATCAATGATTTAGAATAGATTAAAATATTAGAGACATTATTATAATCATAGACAAATGACAATGCAGTATTACATTGCGTTAATCGAGTTTGGAGGGCCTTAAATTAGAGGGTTGGAAATAGAGGGCCTCAAAAGAGCGCCAAAGTCATTCTCAGCTCTGATTGGTTCGTATATAGATTGTACTAAAATCCTAACTCATGTCAATCTGTCTAAACTCATTTTATTTCGTATTTGTTTGATTAAACTATAAGAAAGTTTATCGAAGTCTAGTTTAAGTTCATGAATTAATTGGTACAAAGTTCAAAGTAATTGAATTGCATTATTTTTGTTGTCTTTAGTGTTGAAATAAGAAAATTTTAGGTTCTCTAGCCCTCTACTGGCTTGAATCAATGGACAATGTCCGTGCTTGAACCTCATTAGCAAACCTAAAAAGAGGCGCGATTTCTTCGCGCCATTATTAATGGAGGGCGGATGGTGATGACGGCCATGATAACTCATGATAACCTAAAATATGTTTCCATAGAAAGCTCATCTTATCTCACTCACATATTTCCTGTATACACTGCATACTTCCGAGAAAAAATTTCGTAAACAAAAGATTTGCAATGGAAGCCTAGAATTTCATTGGTTCTCCATGTTTTCACCTAGAAATGAGTCGGTTGTGATATTATGCAAAATGGATCAATACATTTAAATACACTTTTATATGTACTACTCATTTAATATCCTTACATACATCCTCTTATCGATTCTTGCATTGTATACCTATAATTATTATCCATAAATATCAACTACTTCCATATATTCTATAAAATTCATTAACATCAAACCCTAGGGAAATCATGAAAATTGTGCTTGTCATTTTCATGAATAATAATTCCTCATTCTGCCGTTGCGGCGTTGACATCGTTGTAATTATTTCGTAACTACTGTACGCATCTCGATATAAAGTTTCTTCGTCTAATTTTGTTACCTGTCGTTGGTCGTTGGTCGTATGTGGTCGTATGTCTAAGGATGTAACATGTGCTTTCGTGTTTCGTATGGTTAAAAAATTTGTTTGGAATTATATTTAAATACTCTTTTCGCACGCCTTATCAGCGTGACATTTCCAAAAGGTGTCGATTTAAAAAGAATATATAACAATGGGTCTATACAATTTCAAGAAAATAGCGGTCGTCCCTACTGCAAAGGTTAGTTGATCTTTCGGTTTTTTGTTTATAAGAGATATATTTGTAAATTGACATACTGCGTTCTTTGTTTAGGACTTTATCGATATAATCTTATCGAAAACCCAACGTAAAACTCCAACAGTTATTCACAAAAATTATAAAATCACAAGGATACGCGCTTTCTACGTACGCAAAGTAAAATTCACGCAGCAAAACTTCCACGATCGATTGTCTCAAATAATACAAGATTTTCCTAAGCTGGATGATGTTCATCCATTTTATGCAGATTTAATGAATGTCTTGTATGATAAAGATCATTACAAGCTGGCTCTTGGTCAGATAAATATAGCACGACATTTAATTGATACTGTAGCAAAAGATTATGTACGTTTGCTGAAATATGGAGATTCTCTATATCGGTGTAAGCAACTGAAGAAGGCTGCTTTGGGTCGTATGGCCACTATTATGAAAAGGCAGGCTGCTAATCTAGCATATTTGGAGCAAGTTAGACAGCATTTGGCTCGTTTGCCTAGCATAGATCCTTACACACGTACAATTATAATATGTGGTTTTCCAAATGTTGGTAAAAGCAGTTTTATAAATAAGGTGATTGGAACATTATCTTTATTGACTATGAATATGAAGTTTTAAGTGGAGCATATATAACATTTTTCTTTTATTATAGATTACTCGTGCTGATGTTGAAGTTCAACCATATGCATTTACAACAAAGTCATTATATGTTGGTCACATGGATTATAAATACTTGAGATGGCAAGTAGTTGACACACCTGGAATTTTGGATCATCCATTGGAAGAGAGGAATGTTATAGAAATGCAGGCTATAACAGCACTTGCCCATTTGCGTGCAGCTGTACTTTATTTTTGTGATATATCTGAGCAATGTGGCCATACCTTGGAAGATCAAGTGAAATTATTTGAATCCATCAAACCGCTGTTTGTTAACAAACCTTTAACAGTAGTGGCAAACAAAGTAGATGTGTTACGTTTAGACGAACTTCCGTCTGAGAAACGAGAAATTTTAAAATCATTGGAGGCGAAAGACATACCTGTATTGGAAATGAGTACAATTACAGACTTTGGAGTAATGGATGTCAAAATACAGGCGTGCGAACGTCTATTGGCTTTCCGTGTTGATCAGAAAATACGAACGAAGAAGGTAGAAGGATTACTTAATCGTTTACATGTCGCGCAACCAATACCCAGAGACGAGAAAATTCGCGCTCCTTGTATCCCAGAGAGTGTTTTGAAGAAGAAACTAGCAGCTGAAGAACAGGCGAAGAAAAAACGAAAATTGGAGCGGGAAATTGAAGAAGAAATGGGAGATGATTACGTGCTTGATTTGAAGAAGAATTATGATATAGAGGGAGATCAGAAATATGATATCATTCCAGAAATATGGGAAGGACATAATATCGCCGATTATATCGATCCAGATATATTTGAGAAATTGAATCAACTCGAAAGGGAAGAAATGCTTCGAGAGGAAGCTGGCATGTACGATTACAAAGTGCCCGAATTGACCACCACGATGCAGGAGATCGTGCAATTAGCTAAACAAATTCGCGAAAAGAAAGCAATCATGAAGGATGAAGCGCGAATTCAAAAAGCTTCTACGAAACCTGTGATACCTCGTACAGCCACGGCCAAGACACGAGATAGGTCAGTGTCGAAACTCAAGGAACAAATGGAAGATCTCGGCATCGACATGGAGGAGACCGAAGATGTAAGTATATTAATAATTCGTCAAAATATTCCCGAAAAATGTGAATGAAATTCCAAATAAAATTTGTACTTTGCATTCTTTGTTACAGGCGCACTTTACCAAAACGAGAGGGCGTTCGAGGTCGTTGTCGCAACCAGCCAGGAAACGTATGCGCCTGGACACTGTGTCTCAATCGAGAGCTCGAAGTAGTTCAAGACCAGCCCGCGACGACATGGGTGTTAAAGATGTCGCGATGAAAACCAAATTGAAGAACATAGCGCACAAGGCTCTGAAGAAGAAGATCGCAAGGAAGGGCATGAAAGGAGAAGGTGACCGATTCATCGGTACAAAAATGCCGAAACACTTGTTCTCAGGAAAGAGAGGCGTTGGTAAAACGGATAGAAGATAATGTTATTTATACGTTGTTATACTGTCAAAGATTTCCATCGAGTTCCCATCAAGATTCGTTTCTCGCTTGTCACGCGAATAAATTGAAGTTTGCTACAAATCGTTTTTACCTCGCTATTAAAAACGCGATTAGGCCATAGTTAAAGTCGTGAATGGTATCGCGACAGTGTGAATGAATTGTCTCAGATTGCATAACTCGGTCGTCGCGATGACCTTCGCCCTCGTACGGGGCAACATCGCACGTTCAGCGAAAGTTTATTGCTGTCGTACGGAGATAACCCCTTCGCTATAGCATTCAAGAGTCTGCCTTGTTCGGAAACTCGTATTCCTTACCATGTAGTAACCGATATCGGTGCTCGTTCTGTTGCGTTGTGCAATGTCCGCCATCTGGTATCGTTAGTTTTACAAAAACGAGTAATGCTCGACGATCATATTCGAAACGAACGAAGGAATAAACGGGAGGTTATATGTATGAAATCATGTGGTCGAGATATAGTTACGGTTTCTGTTATATAAATAACGATTAAATTTTTATTTTGTCGTTACATCATCGATGGTTGATTAGAAAGTACAAGTAACGTGAGATGTTACGATGCCCATTGTGCGTAGTCGAAATTAGTTTCGCGAACGATAGTTCGATACGTAAACGTATGTTCCTTCTATTTGACAATGAGTTCAGCGAAATTACGATTACGAATTTGTGACTCACCGCACGCGTACATGTAAGGTAGAAGGAAGAAGAGTGTCCCTAAGTATTTTCTTATCGAGTTTAATGGATGCGATAGATGTGTGGTGTATATATAACAGAGACGGGCAAAATTCTTATCTAGATAAAACTGTTGAGTAAGGAATAAATTATAGGCAATTTTTTATTTTTTATTCGTTGAATGAAAATTAGAATTTGAATTATAAGTTTAAATTACGTTTCGCTACGAACGAATAAGTCGCTATACCTTGTTCTTATTCGTTATCTATTTACTCGAACAAAGTTTTGCCCATCTCTGATAGATAAGAGCGTTCGAGAACTTCTCGACGCGTACGAGAGTTCGGAAAGTTTACAATTTCGACCGAGTCCTCCATACAAAGCCATTCGTGTGACAAATCGGTCGATAGGAGTTGTTTTTTCTCGACACATTGCAAAAAGAATAAAAGGAGTACGATCTCGGGTATTCGCTCTATAATTCTATTAGGAACTAACGAAACTTCGGGCAGAAGGAAACTACGAAGCGGCGATTTCGCGTATAGATAGAATCGAATCAGTGGCGTAACTAATACTCCGGTCATTTTAAAGGAAAATCAATCCTTCTAGATCTAGTATAACATTAGAAGAAATTAAAACGTTATTTCTAATTTATAATAAATAATTGGAACTTATTACTCGTGTTCGAACACTCTTAATTACGCCACTGGATTTAATTTATCTTCTGCATTCGGTACTCGACACGCGATACGCGAAGGAATCTCGTACTCTAACCCAAAATGATCGAAATAAATTAAAACAATACAGCGACGCGATGATTGTAGCGTCGTTTTCTTTGCGTGCAATTACATCTTCGTGATTAAGGAAGCTGACTAAGTTTGGAGCCCCAGAAACGTAGTATCTGACATTTTGTTTCTACAGATCTATTTGTTTAAGTATATAGGTCGTCGATGATTCGAATGTTGTCATATTTCTTTCGTCGTTATTTTTAATACGTAAGTCTTGAATTTTTTGGCTCAAAATTAGTCAAACTCCTTAAGAAAATGGAGCACGATCGGGTCGGTAACATTAATCTCGCAACGCGTGCACGAACAAGCATTATCGACTTCTTTTTACGAGAATCTTGTCGCGACTTTGTCGGTAAGTTCATAAGTTCCCCGTTGTCGGCGGAACGATCCCGTTCACGACGATTCGCTTAACCAGGTCGCGTATGTACAAGGGTAATTAAAAAAAAACATTTAACGATACGAAATACGATTATTTACGAGCAATAACGTCAAGCAGATATCTTAGTATCACAGTCAATGCAAGACCCACAACTGGCGGGGTCTTGGGCCTTCGGTGATGCCCTCGAATCGAGTTAAAGGGATACGAGGAAGAGTTCTCCGTCGTTTGTTTCCACCCACGCGATGTCATTTATCAAACGATCAGTTTTTTTATTAAACGAAACGTTTGAAGGAGCACGTGTATAAAATTATACAAAGCATGGAAGGAAATAGGGATGCTCGATTCAACATCGTTTTGGTACCAAATATTTTCAATCGATTCTTTCATTAAATTCAATCGAATATAAGCATCATCACAGTATTTACTGTTTCAGTGCAAGGTTTATCTTCGAAAGCAGGCAATCGATCGAATGAAGAGCTAATAAAAGGAAATTTATTTCATTTCTTCTTTGTGATACTCGGAAGATTTCAAAGCTGGTAACGAGAAAACCGATCTGTCGAATAAATTAATAAGGATCGATCATCCCTAACCGGAAGTTCGCGAGAGGCGCGAACGCTGAATCGCGAGGATCGACGGAGAGGTGGCACCACCGAACGCTATTCGGACGATTCTTTGGTGAGTCCTCGGTGACGGTAGACCGTTTCTTTTCCGTTTTTCTATTCTGTCCCCCCACGTGTAGCTTCCTTCGTTCATTCACTCTAGTCGAAAAGGAAGACGAAAAATCGTTCAGGAACAAGCGCACTCGAGTACTTGGATGTTCTTCCAATAGGAGACCTTCAGCTGCGTGGAATTGTTCTCGTCGTAGTAAACGATCATCAATTGGTCGAGCTTGCTCGGCGCGCAGCAAGGTTTCGGCACCTTCTTTTTGTCTTCCTTCCACAGCAGACTTTGCAGCAGGGCGTGATGATGGGCTGGATTGTATCTGGGCGGACAACGACCCTTGCAGTAGCCCGCGTCGAATGTTCGCGGGTAAACGATGAACTCGAAACCCTTGAGCTCTTTGAACATCACCGTTAGCTCGTGTCTGCAACACTTTTTACTTTCTCCCTTGCACTTGGTCCTGCGACCTTTGTGCAGGGACATCAGTTCCTCGGGAGTGGATCGTTTGACCCTACCGTTGGGCTCGTAGGCGATTCGTTCGGTGAACACGTTGAGAACCGGCGACGTGAATGTGCGTAGCGTCGGTTCGCCATCGTGGAGAAATTCTAGCTCGAGGCCAAGATTCTCAAGACCAGCCTCGAGCCACGAGGAAACGACCACGGTCGAATCAAACTCGAGCCACCTCGAATCCCGCGAGTCCCGCGACTCGATTCTTTTACGAACGATCAACTTTCGCGAACCGAACGTTCTTAGATAGAGTAAAACGTCCACGTTCGCTCGATCGCTATAATGACCGTGCAGCAGCAGACGAAGCGTTGCGTGATCCACCGACGCGTTGTCATCGCCGTCAGGAATTTCCACGGGGAAGAACAATCGATGACGATAACGTCCTCCTCTCTCGTTCGTATCGTACATTCGACTCGATCCATTTCCAGGATGCGCTGCAACAAACAAGGAACGATTCAATCAACGAGACATTACGTAAACAAATACCTCTTACAACCTTGAGTTGCCTCGACTATACCTTTCTCTTTCTGTTTCTAATTCTGTTACACGAGGGAACAAATTTTTGGAATTTTGAGAAAGTGTACAAACAAATTCTCCTTCTCTGGGAATTAGATACACCTCTCTATCGAGGCTATGAGAATCAGGGTAGCCTATCTACAAAATTAGGGTACCGAGTTATAAAGAGAAATTGGATGCCGAAACGCGCTTTTCATTTCATTATTTCTATGCTGTCATTCGTTAATGATTGAGGAAATTAAACATGCGTCACTTTGGTTTTATAAAACATCCTATCAGTTAAGAAAATGTTACTTGGGACGCTCTGGTTCTCAAGGCCTCAATTGTAGTACTAATATCTTCCCGAATATACTCCGACGAATAATACCCGCGAAAGCCTCAAATTTAAAACCACGTCTCGATTATTTGCGAGCGTTTTTTTACAGCGTTTCGCGTCAATTCGACGTCGACGACCGCGTATCCGGTGAGAGACGACGAGAACGTCCATTCTGGTTCGTTCTATTTACATCTACCAATTAGTGGAATCATCAAACTGGAGAGTAATTCGTTAATAAACGTGCGCGAACGTCACGAGCCTCTATTTTCCCAACCGCGACGCGCGTCCACGGCAGAAACAACTTTTGCAGGATGTTATTTTCAAGACCTATCGACCAAGATTTCGTATCGTGTAATTTCCGATAGCGTTATTATCATAAAAACGCAATTCGTGGGCGAGGATACGGATTTCTCTCTCGTCGTTAATGTCATTTTTTATAGCTGTGCGCGGCCAGTCGTCGCTACAAACTCGGAGAACGAGTCTCGGGGATTTTTGCACGCGATCACCTCTTGCTTTAGACGCGCGCAGGTAGATCGGACACGGAAACGGGACAGCGCATTCCGCGATGCTTCCAGGAATGCGTGCGCGAGTCGCGCGTAAGCGCCTATTTACGACTACGACGCGACTTCTTCTCGACTCGATGCTTGGGTGGTAGTAGGTCGAAGGGGACCATTTGATTTTGATTCGATAGGTGCACGATAGAAATTGTAAGTATAAAGGCATATTCCTGCGTGCCTGACGTGCATATTTAACACGTTGGCTGCCAGACAAATATTCTTGATCATTTCTGCTGGAATTAAATATTATTTAAATTATCGTGAGACTATATAATCGAACATCTATCGTGCTATTTATTTTTGTAACTTCATCAAAATTCATGTCTAAAAGATTTCGTACAGATGAAGAAAACTAATAATGTTTTCCTTTTTAAGTTTAATAGAGGATTACTTTTGAAATCCCTTCCCTCTCCTTGGAAGTCCATGCAACGAAAAAAAAGGCGAGGGTTAACGTCCTCTTGGGACCAACGACGATCGTTTGGACGAGATTGGGGAAACAGTGTTACACTCTCTCGTCCCTTGTATTCTGTCTTCTCCTCTCGATGGGGCCAGTTTTGGTGAACGTAGGAGAACTAAACGTTCCGTAAGACGACACCCATGGATTAGCGTCGCGTTCCGTATCGTCGACACGCTTGGTACCGGTCGTAAAACATCGTCGTTCGTATTACAGCGTTTCGTCGTACTCGGAATAAATCTCTGTCGGGAATGTAAAAATACGACGAGTCTCGTCGAGAAAGTTATCTGGATTCTCGTTCGTCGCGAGATATCCTAACGGTCCGCCTTCGAACGTTATCTCGGCCCCCGACGTTGTCAACCGACGCGGTAGAAAATAGTTTTCCAAATCCTTCGCGTGAAAACACTTTAACTTCGTCCCAACGCGCCGAATCGTTTGTTCGGACGATAAGGAAAACGATCCATCGCGTCGCACAGGGAGGAAGGGGAAGTCGCGACCCCTTTTCCCGGGTTGACGCGTCTCACGAGCAATTAGTTTGTGACCGCGAGACTCGACGAAACCCTCTGGAAGTTGATTACTTTTTTGCTTCTCTTGGCAAAAAAATTCCGAACATTCCGATGTAGCTTTCGGACAAACGGGAACTGTATAGGGTGAAAAATATGGGGTGAGATTATTCGACAATTTCAAAAGTGTATGAAGCGTACGATGATCTTATTAACATTGCTTCGATATTATTTCTTAAAGTTTCGCTAGGAGAAGAGTGGAATCATCTCCATGGCGATTAAGAATCACTGTCTTAATCCAATGCGTGTTTGTATGTGGATTTAGAACAGTTTACACAGCGTAACACGTATTATTTATTTGTAAATTGCGCGTATAGTCCACAGAGCAATCTACGATCCCAGAGTCCAAAGGATAAACAATGGATCGCTTACTCGAACAATAGAAACAGCACGCGAACAATTTCGACTAGGAAAAGGGTGGAAGGATGAAGCATACCACTTTTCGAGTCTACGCAGACATCTGACCACGTAAATCGCGGAACATCTAAATCAGATTTTCTCCTCTAAATGATTCGTTTGTTTCTTCGCGGCCGCAGCTCCCGAGAATAGGATCGCACGATCGCAGGAATCCGTCGCAGTGTCGGGGAAAACGTAATCCATAATTACGACTGAGGATCTTTTCGAATCCACTAGGGCAGAGGTTCCCAAACTTTGTACACCAGCGGCTTCCTTAGTATACAGATTATTTTCGGCGGATTCTTTAATACCAATCAATATGAGACCGATCCGAAATAGTATGTTAGACAGACTACATTTTGTGCCACAAGGTAACTAAATATTAGTGTTACTATTTCGTAAGACTTAATTTCTTTATTATCAAACTTTACCGATACTCATTTTTCTTTCTCTTACATTTTTACATATTACATTGAAATTTTACATATTTACAATATATCGCGGCTCCCCTGTGAGAAGACGCGGCGCACAGTTTTGGGAATCACTGCACTAGGGTAAACAAATCTTCTATAAAAGCTAGAAAAAGAATAAGAAAACCAGAATTTCGGAGGGGTCAAGGACTGAATTAGTTTCAGGCAATACAAATAAACAAGCTGTCGGGTCGCGAAGCTGAAGATACGCATCTCCAGGAAATATTTCATCGATTAATCTATCTGTATCTTTACGAAGCAATTTTTACAAAGTTAGTGGCAACCATTGCCTAACTCTAATCATTCGTGGCATTCAACGGCGAACGATCGTATTTGGCGATTGACCAGCGATCGCAAAATAACCCGACGTGAAATCCGACGAGAATTCGCGGCATTTCGATAATTCGGCGTAAAAGTTTGCCATCTCGCACCCCTCTTCCCCGTCTGCCCGGGGAGACCGTCATCGAACGGGAATTTCGACGTCGAATCGCGCGCGATGTCCGAATAGCTCGTTTATTCGCGGCACGCGGACCAATTATAGATTACCTTGCGCGGAATCGCCGCCGAAAATACGCCTC